TTTGCACGTCATTGACTAGTTTCAATGACAGTGCGTAAAGATTTGATCCCTTGGGAAATATTATGTTGTCGTCTCACCTAGTGACTTTAGAAATTGAAGTCTTTCCCAAAGTGTGTGGCGAATGTGAAGTCCAATGCTGTCAGTTGCAGCAATCCATGGGGCTCCCAGTCGTGAACTTGTCCAGCGCAGTCACTCATAGCAGAAAGCACGTTAACCTAAGGTTCTCTCGTCCATATTGCCATAAGGTGCAGCCAAGTCATCAAGCTTACCAGCCTCCGTGACATTTGGGACATTGCGGGGACCAAGCCGCGAACATTCGTCTCAGCGAGTATTGGGTCGACCCTCCTTCTGCCTTCCCTCCACGCTTGACCGTGTGTGAGGAAGATGCCGGACTCGGGTAGTAGTCCCAGGGTGTTGAATTGCCGTACGAAGAGTCCTTTACTCGAGTCTCTGAATATTTGTTGGAGAGTATCGTGATTCTTGGTGACAACGAAGGTCTTCGAGAAGACTCTGAGACAACCAAAGGGAACCCCTGGCGTTCATCAGTTAACACGCCAAGGAAACCCATAAGTTCGATCGAAGAAGACCATGCGACTCACCGGAATGAGATCGTTTCACCGAATTCCTTGACCCAGGCACTCATGGAAGTTAGGGCTCTTTTCGGATCCAGTTTGAAGGCCATTCCGCAAATCGGACTTCCCTGAAGAGTCGGAAAAGTTCACTCGACAGTGCCGCTGCATCACCGGAGCCAGTGGATCACTTGAGGAGTCTTCCTACCTTGGGGCCGGGAAAAGGTAACGGCTTGATACAAGAATGGAGTTGCTTCGCGAGCCTGATGAAAATCCAAGATAGCAGTGCAATAGCACCGCCTTTGATGATACCAGGTACATAGCGACGGAGAATGCGGGTAAGCTCGTGATCCAAACCTCTGAACAGTGCACCCGGATATACTATCCTTCCATGGATTTCCTCGTCATCAGTCTACTTATTCGTCATTAGTCATATTATCTCCATTATTAGACGGTTCGTGCGGTTTGGATGTATCGACCGCGCCACGCCCGGGTGACGTGGTTTGTACTTGCGTGTTCTTGCGCATGCGTGCCCTCATTCGTTCGAAGTGATCATAAAACATCCGTTATTAACCCCTTCGTCTCTATGCCTCCGAGTCGTGTTTCCAAGAAGTCCAAGGAGCCTGCCCAAGGGTCTGGCGATCCCCCTCGCTCACAGCGATCGCAGGCAACCATAACCATATCATCACGAAATTCTCGGCAGAGTGGACAAACACTGGACTCCGGATTCGCAGGACCATCGTATTTCCGCAAGCGACTTGCATGGAATACTGCACTGCGTCCTTGACCAGTGGAAGTTAAGCTTAGGCGATAGCATTGATCCCCAACAGCCTCGAGCACATAATAAGGCCCGGACGCACAACCAGAGAGCTTGGACTCTCGGGATCCACCGACCTTACCCGGATTGAAGAGAATAGCCTTGTCACCAGGCGATAGTCGTTCAGTCGAAGAGCTTAACTTCTTAGACATAGCCACTCGGTTGCGACATTGGAGCCATTCCTCTCCATAGATCTGAAGAAGATCGTTATGCTTCCTGACTCGCAACTCCGCTTCTTTCGCCCAGGGCTGATCCTGATCGTCCCAGGAACCGGCCCGACCAGCAGCGACTCGTGCTGCATCAGCATGACATCTCGCCAAAGCTTCATAAGCGCCTCCCGTTACCGAGCCGATCCTCCCGGCCAACCGGAGCAGTGTTCCGGGAACACGATACGCTTACTCAACATCTCAGCCTCCGGGACCACCGGAGCTTCACAGCGCTTAACAGATAACTTCTTGTGCTCATCGTCCCAGCACCAAAGATTACCGAGCCAACGGGTACCTTGGCCACTCGACCATCTCTCACGCTTCGCATCAGGGCAATTGAAACCGCACAGGTCCCAACCCAGCAAAAGCAGCTGTTCGACGACATCAAGAACAGGAGCCTCACCGGCTACTACGAAGTCGTCCATGACAACAACAATGGCAGGGTGGACATCGTGACATTGAGCACCTCGCAAAACCTCGTAAGCGCAGCGAACGACTTTGCGAATAATACGTTGAGTACAGTTCAACGCATGCGGACCTACCGCCAGCCCAAAAGCTAGCTTAGAACACTCAATCAACTCCTTACCGACTGATAGGTAGACTGGAGTATGTTCACCAGTAGCCACGTCGATGACGTCGATACCGATAGAATAGAAAGCCTTCTCGAGGTCGTATTGTCGTATCTGCACTCCTCTTCGGAGCACCCCTCTCAAAACTTGCCCTGCCTTCAACACCGTTGGTTGAACGGCAGACACTCCTGGTGAGTAGAGGTTGGCCCCTCTCATATCCGCTACGGGACGGATACGACTAGACT